CCCGCCTGGAGCCCGCTCTTAGGGGCTCTCAGAGCCGCAAGTCTTGACTAGGAAACCGCTAGTAACTCTGAGGACAAGGCTGGGGGCTCAGGAACTTCCTGTACAGCCCCCAAGGGGACAAGGGCCAGGTCCCCGCTGATTTAGTCCACAGCCCTGCCACGTGGCATACCTGAGGCCCCGGCTCAGCCGGAGATCTGGCATCATTTCTGAATGCCACAGTGATCTGGTCCTAAGTCCACGTTCTAAGCTGCCGAGGAACACTGCGTGGACACCAGGATAGAGTTGAATGGACACATTTGGAATAATGAGCTGCTTTCGACCTGAAACACGGGTGTTTCCAATCCACATTCAATTCTTCTTAAAAAAACAACAATCTTTTTAACTCCAAACTATTTATCTCACTACACTCCCTAGCTCAGCTCGGCAACTTGCTTTATTGTCTATGCAATTGACACAGGTCATGTTTAATGCCAAACGGAGAACATCAGAAACCAAACTAGAAAATCTTGTGGTGAGTTTACTACTAAACTCTAACAGATGTGCCTGACTCAAACTGCAGGCATCAGGGCTGGGGCATAATTTTAGGTACAAATTACCGACTGAGAATATTTATAGACCGAGAACTTCTTGAGCAAAGAAGACTCTTTGACATTTAACACAGATTATCCTGTAGTTTTAGCAATTGATAAAGCAGCCAAACATTGCCAATGCATTAATTATGGTTTGTTTAGGAAAGTTTCCAGGACAGAGTGCTGGATCTAATCGTGTTGGTTTTGTGCAAGAGTTTTTTGGTGTTGTTTTTGTTTCTGCAAGATAAAAATTGGACCCATAATCACAAGTTTGGCTAAGATTTTTGAACCATATTAATATTCAATAACCACTGATCACAGTTCCCCGTAAGTGCAGCTATATTTACACTTATCTGTATACATCCACTTGCACAAATTAGTTTTTAAGCTATTATCTACCTTGTCCTGCATGAACTCCTGATACTAATTGACTCTTCCAGATGTCAGAACTCCCTCCTAACACTCATTTATTATACTTGTGAGCAAAGATTATAAGGAAGACATTTTACATTAGATATAATCACAACAGTCCCATTAGAAACCAAGTCGTCAAAACACAAATCACATTGCCCTCTAATTGTTTTCTATTACTCAGAGTCCTGGCGGCACAGTGGCTGGAGGACTCAGCTGTGACCAAGCTGTCAGTGGTTTGAGCCCACCAGTCACTTCATGGAAGAAAACGGTAGTTAGTCTGATTGCTTACAAGATTTACAACCTTGGACACCTTACAGACAGTCCTACTCGGTCCTACAGGGTCACTATGAATTAAACCCAGCTTGGGGGCAATGAGCTTGGTTTGCTTTTGGGTTCTATTAGTCATTAATTAAAATCAGGTTTACTAACTGCAAGTACTGTAAGGCAATCAATCTTTTTCATCAAGAACCAGGATAGAGGAAGGAAGAAGAAAAGATAAGAAAACATTGCAAAGGTCAGAGTGAGACCATTACTACTTGAAGATAGTTTCCCTGAGTACACTCTGAGAAAACCATGCCAAGTCACGTGCTTTTCACACTGAAACTTATATTGTATCAAATTTAAATTTGTTACAACTGCCATGTACATTAACCCAGCGATAACGAAAATGTAACTCAATATCTGATCTAGTGAAACAGCGACCAACATTAGCTCCCAGCCACAGGAAGCCAACCCCCAATGCCATTACTGGTGTCAGCTAAACCTCAGCCGTCTGTCTTCTCCAGCCATTTAAAATAAATAAATTAATTAATTAATTAATACATATCTGACTATCTCAAATTAGGAGATCTTGAAGGAAGTCTCTGTGATGAGGCAACTTAGTTGCTCGTTCTCAGTGCCCTGCATTTTGCTGTCCTTAAAATAGACGCTTGGACGCCAATGTCCTTTCTATTACCCGGAGGGGGGAAAATCACATCCACACCAGGCCTTTTTCTTTCAGCTCACAGAGAAGCAACACGATCTAACCAGTGTGGAAACCTGAGTAGGTCACTGTACACCACGATAAAATTCCCTAATCCCTGGGCCAAATCTCCCTAAGGGGGCCTCCTCCTGATCCTCCACTTCCCAGGCTGACTTTTCCATTCGCTCTCTCCTCTTTCCCCCTTTCATTTCCCCTACCTTCAAGCCTTGATATGTGATCTGAGGAGGGGGCTCAGGTTTCCGTTTTTACAGCTTAGGCTGTGCTCGCTGTATACATTCCTTTCTTCGGCCGGGCAGTGGTTACTTACCGAGGCTTAGTTTACACTGGTCCAGATGAAAGCCGTTCAAAGACGGCAGACACAGCCAGGCAGCTCCAGCGGCACCGATAGGAAGCTGCACAAGGCCACATTGTGTTCCTGGTGACAGTTTCGTGCACACATTTTTTTTTTTAATGCAGGGCAACTAACTTGTTGGGTTACTCTACACTTTAGGTCTTGAGGCGGTGGAAGGATAATGCACACTATCAGGCGGTTTGGGGGTGTTGGCATTAAAAAATATATTTAAATATATATTTTTTAAATCGTAATGAGTTCCAAATAATCCTTCTGCCTTTTTGACTTTGAGAAATCAAAGTGAGAACTCTTGGTGCTGTTATATTAGAGGATTCCCTACTAAACCTTTGCACTAGATAGACTTCATGCCTCAGTGGCATGGTGTGCATGACACGGCTGAAATTTTTCACCCAAGGCTCTCATACCCTGGTCCAAACCAGAGGGAAAACTCTGATGTTACTGGCCGTGGAGTTCTTTGTTGGGGGACAACTTCTTCTTTAATGTACTCTGGATTAAAATGATTAAAACTTCAAATAGTCGGTAGCAATTTGGGGAGTTGGGCAGTGGGGAGAATGATAACATTTTACAAAGAGGAAATTCTGTGCAGAAAGGTTAATTCCATTCTTAGTCCTGCAGCCCTGGCTTAAAAAAAAAAAATTGTGTAATTTCCCCCCATCACACACTGTTGTTTTGTTTCTTCCTCACCGGTCCAGACAAACATCTGTTATAGTGCAGGAGGACAACTATCTCCCAACCATAGAGTTCGCCCGCAGCCAAAGTCAACAACCGCAAGCCCCAAGCTCGGAGCACAGTCAGCCTTTATATCCAGCCGGGATAACATTTCACATGTTTTGATTAAAATTAGCTAATTTGTAATTCTAGAACCTATGAAACTTAAAAGCTGCCGTCCATATGATCACGTTAGGCAGCATGTTAAAGGGCCAGTGCGCACTGTGATTCCCGATGGCCTTTTCCTCTCTCCTTGTCCCTCCTCCCTCCATAGAAAATGAAATGAATAAGTAACCTGGAAATGCAGGGGGGCGGGGGAGTGAAAAGAAGGAGAATGGTTCTTGTCGAGTGTGTGAATTCCACCCAATCAAAAGACAACAGGCTTAGTGGCCCTGGTGTTTTAAGAAAAGCTCAACAACAGCAGCAAACAACACTCCCTCCTTGGGATGGATGGTGGTTTCCATCACAAGGGACAGCATTCATTTCCAAAGCAATTCTTCCTGAACTCTCTTTTGGACTGATGCTGCCGGCAGCGCAGGCTGGAAGGCACTAAGCTTCTCACCCAGAAAGATAAAGCCCCTAACTCCAAAATTGAGATGGCTACGCTAGGAAGAGAAGCGAAGCATATGTACCTAGGTCCACAACAGGGTGCCCAACAATATGCCCCTTTCTCCGCGTGGGCTACAGCCAAGGCACTCTCATAGATATGCTTGTTCCAATTGGGAAAACGTCGAAACGTTTTCATGCCATTTATGCCGCCTACTTTTTTAAAATACAAACGCACACAAACTGACCGACTCCGGTGGCAGCATTAGGGGTTCTATGCAGACGGGGGAAACCCCCAAACAGCTACAGGATGCATACCAAGTTCCCTTGGAACGTGCTACTTAATGGCAACTCGTGGAAGGAAATCATAGGAATGAATATACCATAAACGAGACTCGACATCGATACAGAATTAAGCCCTGGCCAGGTCAAATGCGACACTTCACGGAAAATGAGGGGTGGGGGTGGGGGTCCGGAGCTGAGTGGTGTTCTTGTGCAATCGCTCCAACCAGAACAGCTGGAGCGCCAGGCTGCTGCGCTCGCCACCTCTGGAGCACCGCTGGCCTGGCGGGGAGCCCGGCCTCGCGGAGAGGACGCCCGGCTGGCCTTTGCAGACAATGGGCAGGCGCCGGGCGACAGCTGCCCCTCACACCCCGCTCCCTTCTAACGGGCTCGCTCGGGTTTGATAGCCAAGGAAGTGAGGCATGCAAAGGCGAGCGCGAGCCGGGGCAGCCGCCGACGAGGAGCGGGAGCTGCGGGCGAGGCGAGCTGGCGGTCAGGACGGTACCCAGACCAGCGCCGCTCAGGCCGCACTCGCCCAGGCACTGACAGCCCCTGGGCACCGGGGCTACTTGAGGGGAAGCGGGGCTGGCGGTCAGGACGGTACCCAGACCAGCGCCGCTCAGGCCGCACTCGCCCAGGCACTGACAGCCCCTGGGCACCCGGGCTACTTGAGGGGAAGCGGGGCCACGGAGCCAGGCGATGACCTGGGGAGAACTGGAATCGGGCGCCTCCTAACTTTGAACCATCCGACGAAGGGAGAGGGGTGAACAAAATAACTACAGCGCCCACTTACAAAGCCTCTTCCCCATGCCCGCCCACCCACCACTTGGGTGCTCGGTCCCCTTCCCCTGAAACGCGTCAGTGCCAACCTGGCTTTTAGGAGGTTAAATAGTATGTGGTTTCCCGCGTCGTGCCACCCCCACCCACCCGCCCCCACCTTCCCCCATCAAATCTGAGGGAGGCAAATCTCGGGGCTACAGCCCGCGAGTTGGCCTCGGTTTTGAACCTGGAGGAGGAGCTGAGGCTTTCTGAGCATCTTACGGAAATTGACAAGCGCTCCCCTGGAGCCCCCAAATCCACACAACGGCCAAAGGGGAGCGGGCGGAAGCAGGAGCTGGGCTCCGCAGCCCCCGCGGTCCAAATATACCTTCATTTCCTCATTGATCTCCCTTTTCACTGGGTGAGCTGGTTTCCTGCTCCTCTTATTTTCCGGAGGTCTTCCCTCTTTCTCCATTTCTGCCATGTTTTTGTGTCTGGTTTCTGCGGAGATGAAATGGCTGCTGCTGCCGCCGGCGGTGGTGGCGGAGGTGGTGCTGATGGTGGCAAGGCTGGCGGCGGTGGCCGCGCTGGGGCTGGGCGGGGGAAGGGGAGGCAGGCGCCCGAGGAGCGGGGTCGCTTCTAGCGGCGAACCACGTCAGTGGCTGTCACGGGGAAAGGTAGCTCGCGGAGTCTCGGGGATGC